GATTTCCTATTTGTGGACATAATAGTTTGCTCAGAGTATGGTTTCATTTCCTTTTTTGTCCATAGGAAATATGGTGGCATTTCCTCATTCCTTCCTGATGCTGTCTGTTTATATTTTCTCAATGTTGTCTTGAAGCAGTTTTGCTAAGGATTTATCAATTTGATTATTCTTTTAAAGTAACCATTTTAGGCTACATTGATTTTTCCTATTTTATGTTAGCTTTTAATGTCACTGTTTTGTACTTATATATCTGTTTTTAAAGTTTTTTTCCACCATTGTGGCTCTAACTTGTTGATTAGAATTCAGATAATATATTTTGAAATTTAAGGTTTTTCTAATACATACCCTGAAAGCTAAAAATGTTCATGTAAGTATTCATTGCCATTGCCACATCCTATAAGGTTTTTTTWAAAAAATGTCATTCAGTAGCAGTGATTCCAAATATTATCCATTATCCATTTAAATTTTTTTTATTTTAAACATGGTATAGTTGGGTTTTCTTTGGTGTTGAAACATCTGGCTATTTTTTTTTGTCTTGTTCCTTTTTATAGTKTTTAATTCTGCAGTGATTAAGAAATACAAACTTCAATTGTATTTTTTAACATTTACTGAGTATGGCAATAGTTGAGAATTAATTTTGGTAAGCACCCTAGGTGAGTATGAAAACAATGCCTATTCTGTATTTATTTAACATAGTATTAGAGGCTGAATGTATGTATCTATATGACTTTGAGTAGAGGTGCTTCACTTTTCTTTCAAAAAGTTTTTTTTATATGTTCTGTTTGTGGCTGAGAAAGCTGTATTAACATCGTCAAATACATTTTGAATTTTCCTGTTTCTTATTTTTTATCTCCCCTTTTGCTGCTTTTCTTTTTGGTGCTGGTGATTGAACTCAGAGGAACATTACCACTGAACACCTCCTCAGCCCTTTTATTTTTTTATTTTGAAACCCGGTCCTGCTAAGTTGCTTAGGGCCTCACTGAATTTCTGAGGCTGGCTTTGAAGTTGCAATCTACCTGCCTCATCTTCCCAAGCGATTCAAATCCTTTGCCATTGTGCCTGATTTGTTTCAAATATTTTGAAAATATTTATATACAAATTCCAAGTGAATGATTACTCTTAAGATGAACATATACCTCTTTCTTCATGTTAATATTTCACCTTTTCTATTACTAATATGTATCTCCGTCATCCACTTGGTACAGAGTATTGATACCAGGGACACTTTAGCACTGAATTACATTCCAGAAGTAAATTTCTATTACTAATATGTATCTTCCCCACCCCTTTGATTTTGGTGATCCTAGGTATTGAGCCCATTTGTACTCTACCACTTAACTACATCCTCAGCCCCTTATAAATTTTCTATTCTGAGACATGGTCTTGGCGAGTTGCCAAAGATGGCCTTGAACTTGAAGTCCTCCTGCCTTCTCAAATAGCTTGGATTACAGGTGTATGCCACTGGGCCTTGCACTAATATGGTTTTAAATCAGCTCTCTTTTGGTTAATGTTTTCATGGAATATGGTTTTATATTATTTTCTCAAAAATTTTCTGTTTTATATTTAAGTGTCTTTTTATGTAGCATAGAGCTTGCATGTGTCTTGCATAAACATCTGTTTACTAGATATCCTGATAATAAGAACAACACTGTGCACATCTATCTGATCCAATTATAGTAATTGAATTAAAGCAATGTGATGTTCTGTAGGATGCCAAGAGAAAAAGTTGTGCCAGGAATCAGGAGAGCTGTTATAAGGCCTTGAAAATGTATTGATGGTCTAGCCAGATTACTTCAGACAACTTGTGTTTGCCTTTAAATATTGTGTAGGGGAAAAAGCATTTTCTGCAAACTTGTTACATAACAGATTCTGGCTATTTTGGGTTATTTATTTCAGATACCATATATGAAACAGAAATGTAATGATAGTTACCCACTGGTTAAGTTTATTTGCATCATCCTTGGTTATTTTGCATGCAGCGCTTAACATTGCACATATTACTAGATGTCATTACCTATATCTTCAAAGTCTGAAAGGCAGTAGTTCCTGTAATTCCCTAAGCATATAGCATTTCTGTAAGTCTACTAGCTTAAATGCAGGGGGAAGGGAAGATGAGGGGACATATGTGTGATCTTTATAAGGAAAATAGATGCCACACCCTGGGTCCAATAGCTAGTGGGAGATTTTTCCAGTTGCTAAGCATGAGTATTCCAATTATGAATTCAGCAAATTTGGCAATGTCCCCCCCCCTTGAGGGTCTTCAAACCCAGCAAACACAATTTGAAACAAGCTTGGGCCCAACTCCATTAATTATTAGAGTAAAAAGGAGTTTCTAATTTTCATGGTAGTCCACAGTGGGGTTTTGTATATCAGTGAATTTGTCATTTCAGACATGATTAGCAATTCCTGAAATGTATAGATATTTCACTTTCCTGGTGGTATCGTCATGGTCAACATTGACTGTAGGTTTCTGGGAGGAAGTTATGGCAGATTTTCAGTAGAGTCACATGTCACTTAATGACAGGAATATGTTCTGAAAAACGTGTCACGAGGTGATT